CAACTTTGGGGGAGGTCTTACTTAGATGTTAAAAGGGCAAATGGAAGAAGATTTCATCAGACTATGGACTCCTTTTTATGACTGGATAAGAAAGAAATACAAAGATATTAACTTCTCAATATTACAATATCAAGAAGCATTTATGAACTTTCAAAATCTCACGATTTATCTCTTTGTAATGTGAAATGATAAGTAGAAAAGATTTATATGCAGAAGACGTATTTTTTTTCCTTTTCCTTCCCCTTCCCCATTTCTGTATACCCTAAAAACCCAATAAAATGTACTTATTTTTTTTTAAAGAAAGAAACTTTGGGGGAAGTCTTCAGTGGATAGGCAGGACTAAGTTCCCTGCAATTTTTGTGTCATTTGCTTGGAAGACCCTTGCCTGCTCCAGGACTGAAGGGGGCAAAAAGGAAGGAGGGAGTGTGGGGCTTGAGGATTCCTGGGAGGGGATGCCCATCTTGGACAAGCTCCCACTGGCCCTTTTGCAGCTGTGAGAAAGGATAATTGGGTTCTCCAGATCTGGGAGGTGGACAGGGAGTGAGAAATGGTGGTGATGGGGCAGGGCAGCAACGACCTGAGGAGGTCAAAGACATATCTCCTTAAAATATGCTGTTAAAATTTCAGTTTGCTTTCAGAAGTTCCTGGGAGATTGAGGCTGGTTCTGATAGACGGCAGAGAACCTGAGAGGATTAGCAACCCTACATAGGGTGGACAGAGGAGCTACATCAGCCCTGTCTCGCAAGCTAACTCTAGAGCTGCCAGCTCTGGTTTAGGAAATACCTGGAGATTTTGGGGGTGGAGCCTGGGGAGGGCATGGTTTGGGCAGGAGAGGGACCTGAGCAGGGTATAATGCCACCCAGTCCATCCTACAAAGCAGCCATTTTCTCAAGGCAAACTGATCTTGGTCTTCTGGAGGTCTATTGTAGTAGTGGGAGATCTCCAGGTGCCATGTGGAAGTTGGCAACCTAGCCTACTCTGTTAGCCTGGACACTCAAGGCAGGACACTAGCAGCTAATCTCAAATCGTAGGTAGGCTTTTATGGACAGAGGCAATCCTTGAAGACCTCATGGAGTCTGGTGGTTCTGGGGGAAATAGTGTGGCCCAAAGTGGTTAATTAAGCAGTGTTTCTGTCAATATCTGGCAAAACCTATTTTAAATAATGTTGTTAATCAGGCATTATTTGGAGAGTTTTGATTCCCCCCTCCTTTTACCCAGTACAAGCAATATAAGGGAAATGTTGCTAGCAAAACTCCCTGTTCATACAACTTTGAGAGGGTAGGCAGCTTCCTCAGAGACTTGAAGCAATGTTTGCCAATCCTTGTAAAGCATTTCACCTCTTCAGAGGCTAAAGCCTCTCAATACCAAGAACAATTAAAGCAAGAGCCTTTCAGAGCAACTGGGGAATTCAGCAAAATAAATCAGAAATCCTCTGCCTTGGCTCTGGAGGGTTGCCTCATTATAAGAGCAGATCTATTAGCCCCCTTGCCATTGTCTTTCATTTCTCAAGTGAGGTGATTCTAATTAAATTAATCTGCATGTCAATCTATCGGTGATCAATCAAAGGGGCCGAGGTCCCCCTTTGCGGCACTGTGCTTGCGGCTGACAGGGGCTGATAATGGAGGAAGAAATAAACTGTCGAGCAAAGTTAATTAGTCAACATAATAGGTGGATTAAACAGGAGCTGGCTGATTGCTGTTTCACATGTTGAAGCATGAGGTGGGAGCTGAAACTGCAATTAACAGACAATTATTATATTTGGTTGTAAGAGGTCGCATGAATAAACATATCTCAGTGGGTTTCAATTTTTAATCCTCCTTCCTTGTTTAATATAAGGAGAAGTGTAGGTCATTTCTTCTTATTGTTTTAGCCAAAGTTTTGGAAGGCAGAGTCTATTCATAGGGAAGAGGCTTATGACTAGGCAGAATGCTCAGGACCAATGTGAGTGACAGTGAGACAGAATTTTGTTAGTATGAATGTTAAGAGCAGGAATATGAACGGTAATCGTTAAGTATGGATATGTGTAGCCAGATTTCTGGAGCACCCTTCGGAAAACATGGCTACTCATGATACAATAGGAGTTTAGCACTTTTTAAAATCTGTACTGTATTTTTTACATTTAAATGGCCTCTAGGCACTTTTGATAGCTCTGCTATTAAGTTTCTTGCTGAATACACACACTCTTTTGATCAAACTAGTCGTTGTTTCTCAGTTAGGGTTGCCAGGTCTGGGTTGGAAAATACCTGGAGACTTTGAGGGTGGATCCAGGAGAGGGTGGGGTTTGGGTAGGGGAGGAGCCTCAGCATGGTACAATGCCATAGAGTCCACCCTTCAAAGCAGCCATTTTCTCCAGGAGAGCTGATCTCTGTCAGCTGGAGATCAGTTGTAAAAGCGGGAGATCCCCAGGCCCCACCTGGAGGCTGGCAACCCTGTTCTCAGTGCTTCTGTGTCCTTTTTGATCTCTTTTTTCACATTTAGGCAAGGCAATGAGAGATCACAATGGAGCATGAGAGTCATCACTTTCCCCCCAATATAACATTATTGGAAATGCCTGGTACTCTATTGTGTTGTCTTGCTGCCTATAAAATATTTGCATACAAAATAGAAGTGAATAGAAATGAATTTGGGAAATTTTATACTGATACATATAATCCATACACACACACACACACACACACACATACATATAGTGATAGATAGATGATAGATAGATAGATAGATAGATAGATAGATAGATATAGATATATAGCACTTTGCTGGAGTTTTATCATGAGGAAAACAATACTGGAAGCATTATTATATAGCATCAGCATCATTTTAACCTCATAGAATTATAGAGTTAAAAGAAAATAAAGGTGCCGATGATTATGAATGTTTAAAACCACAACTGCAATTGGTCTGCTGGATTTACAGATGCTCTTCCTTGAAACTTTTGAGTAGGAAATCCAGGTCAACTAGATCTTTGCTGCTCAAAGGCAGGCCTATCCACCTACAACCCCTTCCACTCCATAGCAAACTGAACAACTCTGGTCACAGTGTGCCACAAACAGAATGCAGGAGCATGCATCAGATAGAAGGTACCTGTAGATCAGGGGTCCCCAATCATTTTGAGCCTTTGGGTACCTCTGGAATTTTGAAATGGGGTGGTGACCACCAGCCCAAAATAGCTGCAGAGTATGGTTGCCAGGTCTGGGTTGGAAAATACCTGGAGACATTGGGGGTGGATCTGGGAGAGAGTGGGGTTTGGGGAGGGGCCTCAACATGGTATGATGCCATAGAGTCTACCCTTCCAAGCACCCATTTTCTCCAGGGGAGCTGATCTCTGCCCGCTGGAGATCAATTGTAAAAGCAGGAGATCCCCAGGTCCCACCTGGAGGCTGGGAACCCCACTGCAGAGTCAAACATTATACCACCCTCCTTCCTTTGCAAGTGAATCACAGAAGGGGAATAAAAGGAAATGAAGGAAAGCCCATAGTGTGTGTGTGAGAGAGAGAAACAGATTGGAGAATATAAAGAAATAAAGGAAAGCCAGGGTTTGGGGGGGGGAGAAAAGGAAGGGGAATTAAAAAGAGGGAAAACACGAAGGAGGATTGGAACATAAGCCTGGGTGCTTACCAGTTCTCCTGATCCTCCAGTGGCAGGAGCCAATAACAAGCCCTGATCTACGGTGACCCCATCCATTGGGGGAAGCTCAGCAGAGACCAGGGAAGCAATGGGAGGCACCATATTGGGGAATCCTGTTGTAGACTATGAGTTTATACTAATTCAGGAAGGAGCTGATTCTCCATTAAATATTCTATTGGCAACAAGCCTTCACTAAATATTATTCTGGTAAATTCCTTAGAGAAGAGACTGGGGGAGGGGGAGGGTTGAGCGCCTGATAATAGCGCAGCTTCAGACTAGCCAGAAGTTTTTCCTTGTATTTAGGGTCAACAAGGCCAAAGCTATCCCAATTTTGCCTCATTTACCTCACGTAGGATGTCACTGGAACTCAAGTAAAGACAAGGATAGAATTGGGCTTTCCAGGTAATGAGATTTATAGTCACTAACCATAAGCTTGAATTGTTGAAGGAGCAACCGTATCATTAGATGTTTTCTAACAGCTGCATCTCTCTCTCACACAGTTAGCATCTTCATTTTATTATTATAAAATCTTTTTAAAGTACCCCACTGTTGCTTACATAAAAGAAGCTGTTTCAGTTACACTTGTTTCATGTATCTGGTTGCAAATCTGACATGTGTTTGAAATTTGTTGAAGAATTCGTCAGCTGAGAAGTTGTTCATTTGCAATCCATATTTGTGAATTTGTTAGATTCTGTAAATGTGTAATTCCATGGATCCTACAAATTGCAGCAAAAACTGATCTCCATTTTCAGTTGTTTAACGTTCATAAAGTGTGTGAATTCAATAGTTAACATTCACAAAGTACATGAATTCAGACTTGATTATTTGTCAAAGAAAATACCCTACTTACAATGACTGAACCCTGTTCTGGAGAATTTTGCAGATGTGTAAACACCTCCGGAAGCTATAGCTGTAACAAGTGTGATGCATGTGGCTGCTCTCATCCTAACTTTACACTTCTGCTTTTATATTCTTTTTGGATCAGTTCTCATTTGCAATGACAACCACTTTATCTACTCTGGTATGCATACTAGAGGATGATGTTGGGTAAAATACAGCCCATTCTTTTTTTAAAAAAAGTTGATAAAGCTTTCCTTGTTAAAATGATGGTTAACGGTGCACGTTTTGCCATACAGCTACAAACTGTGCAATTTGACTTAAAATGACATCAAAAGCTTATAATGCCAAAGACCCACTCATCAATAGCACCTCTTGTTAGAGTCGTACAATCTAAGCACTAGTTATTATGCGAAATAGCAGTGCAATTTTCTGCAGCTTCCAGCTGTTATTTAAGGTTCTGAGTTTATTACACTCTGCACCTATTTTGTTTTAAAATTGTATTAAAGTCTTTCCTTGTATTGTTGTTCTGCTCGTAGGTTGTGGTATCTACAACAGTCAACGTGGATGGTCATGTCTTGGCAGTGTCAGATAACATGTTTGTACACAACAACTCCAAACACGGGCGGAGGGCTCGAAGGCTTGATCCTTCGGAAGGTACGCCTTCTTATCTGGAACATGGTAGGCATTTTTTGTTGGTTGCCATTGTTTCTTTAAACTACTCATTTATTTGGACTCAGTCTTGTTTTTTTTCATTCTAGTTATCCTAGAAGGATCAAAGGATTAAGGGGTCAGATTTATTTTTTTATTTAAAGCAGTATGGGGCCCAAAGCTGGTGCAGTATTTTCAACACACTCAGTTTGGGTGGTCCCACATGGCCAGTTCATGAAACTGATATTAATAAGCAGGTTGTGAGAAAGCTTCCCATCCTTCCCAAATTTATGGTTAGCATTCATTTATTTGAACAGGCTGTGAGCAGGATCTGTGGCATTTCAGTGTGCACACGGTTTGCCCAAATTTCATCTGTTACAGTAGGATGTTCCAAGTGCCCTTGGAGATTCCCAGACTATAGGAAAGAATGTGGAACTCCTTATTGTGGAACATTAATGACCTTAGTAGACGACTATTGCATGATAGTTGCAGTGGTGACATGAAATGTACGGTTGTGCGAATCCATCCTTGTGTTTTCAAAAACAGGCTAGAACAAAGTGGTCAGATTTTAAGAAATACATAACACTTTCATCCTGTGGGTTACTTGCAACAAAACTGAATGGTAGAGTTCAGGAATTTCCTTTTCCTGTTAAACTGTTGTGCTCCTGTGGATAGAAAATTAGGTTGTTTTCATACAGCCATAAGACATGCTTACATGTTGCATCTAAAGACAGGGATAGTTTGTTTCTTATGCCTTTTTTCTTTATGTTCCTGAATTTCACTCTTCCTAGTAGTTCATGGGTCCTGAATTCCAGCTGAACTAGGACAATTCTTTTAAAAAGTTTAAGGATGGAAAGAGTATGCAGTTTGTGGAAGCTCCCACTTAAAGCTCACAACCGCATTAATAAATTATGGCTTGTTCTGCTTTCATTATCCATACAATGGGAAATAATCTATATATCTATTCCTTAAGTGTGGGTAGATTTGCGGATATAAATCCATGGATTGGGCCCACACTGAGAGAAAGGAGATTTTTTTCTCCAAACTCCCCCCCCCCTCAAGGTTTGCAGAAAAATCTGAAATTATTATAAAGTTAGAGTGAGGGTTTAGATCCCCAAAAACCTAAATGTTTGTCTGTGCATGTTCACCTATCCCTGTTGCCATAGAGTTGGGGGTAACTTGGGGGTGGGACCCATGGTTGGCCAGCTGAGGGAAGCCAAGAGCTGTGCTGGCTTGCTGGCAGCAGCTGCAAGGGTGGAGTGGTGTTGGGAGCCACAGCAGGCTCAGTGGCAAAGGCCAATGGCTGCTCGGTGCTCTACCATTGATATTGGGGTGTTTTTTTTGGGGGGGGGAAGCTTTATTTTAATTTAATCCTGGAGTTTTGGCAGGCTGCTAGCAGGGACAGTGGGGGGATTAAAGCTGAGTGGGGGAAGGGATCCCCCCAACATGTATCGTGGGTCCCCATTTGTTATAACTATTCATGACTTGGGTAGCCTAGGCTAGCTAAATCCTGTCAGATCTCAGAAATAAAGCAGGGTCAGCCTTGGCTAGTATTTGGAAGGGTGACCTCTAAGGAATACCAGGCCTACAATGCAGAGGCAGGCAATGGCAAACCACCTCTGAAACGTCTCTTGCCTTCAAAACAAGTCTAGCTTGCCACCTAGTGGTGCATAACCTGAAAAAGAGCTAGAAGATCTGGCTGCCAGATAATCTTAAAATCTCCTGTCTACACACAATGCCATATGATAATTATAATAATTATAGTTATTAGGGCTATTTTTGAGCAGGAA